TTTTTTTCATCTATTAGATTAAAATAAGAACAAGTTTAATATTCATAAGCTAGAAGAAGCAATATTTCATGCATTTGTTCTAAATAGAAAAAAGCAATTTCAGTATCTTTCAGTCTTTTATCAGTAACAGAATTTGTCATACTTTGTGAAAGATAGCTCACTGAAGACAGTTTTAAATCATTTTTAAAGTAGTGGCACACCAAGAGGGCATTTAACCCATTAAGAGGTGACAAGCAGGATAGATTCAAGTGAACTAGTATTTGTAACTCCTGTTTATGAATTTTTATCAGTAGTGTCAATAGTTTTTTGACATAGTCTTGTTAGTACTTTCTCTGAAAATTTCTTCTTATTTAAAAAAAAAAAAAACAAAAAAACCTTTGTCCCCTCCCCACCAAAAACCCCCCATCAACAGCCCTTCAAACAAAAACATCCCAATATAAGACCCCTTGAAGAATCTGCAAGTTGAATTACCTGTGCTAAGGAATGTAAACATATCTTAGATGATGATCTCCTAACTCTCAGGTTACAGACCTGTCAGAATCTCTTCATTCCTCAATGTAACAAGGAAATAGTTCACCACGCAGTCTTTGTTGCCATTACTGTATTCTGCACAATACAATACTCATTGACTATAAAATGGAATGCTTCTAACATCAGCATAAGTAGGATTTCACCTATTCCACATTCAATTATTGTCATACCATGAAGCACTGTAAGTGCTGATTTTTATTTTTTTTTAAACTCCAGTATTAGATAAAATGATAGTGTGTGGAGGTAGGAGTTGGATACCCTCTGACTAAGAGGTTCCACATTAGGAGGATTTAAAGTTTAATACCATATTTACTTTATATAATTGTTGTTTCATGGCACTTTGATTTTGTAGAGTATTACAGCAGCACACTGAAATCATACCAGAAGCACAATGTAGCTATTGCAAGGTGCAGTTGAATCACCATGCAAACCTGGTTCCCATTACCAGACCCTATATTCTCATCACTGGGGTGCTGGGTGTGTCAAGTCACCAGAAAGGAGTACAAGGAATGAACCAGGTCAAGCCCATTACTCTCTTCAGAGTTCATTTTAGTAGCTGGCCAGTTTTCAAACTCAACCCCAAGGTTGAGCCACACATACGCTTTCTGCCCCCATGCCGCTCTGGCTAGCTCGGAACAGGAGTCTCCACTAATTATCTCAGCTAAAGCTGTTTATACAGCCTGATGACTCATGGTACAGTTGTGTATCTAAGCCAAAGTTTACTTTTCAGTCCCCCTAAAAAATGCAGCTTTCTTTACAATAATTGGTCATCCTTGACATTGTTCCCTGAGCTCATTATTTTTGCCCTTCTCCTCCAAGTCTTCCTCCATTGTGGGGAGATTGGTCACAGTGAAACTGTGTCAGTGTGGTGCAAGTGCAAAGGTTCTCAACTGCTGGGCTCCATCTCACATCTCTCTAATTAGTGTATGTATGTACAGGATGACTTTTTCCTCTCTTTCACCTCATGTGCTCTATCTTGTTGCTTTCTGTACTTGGCTGAAGTTAGGATTTTTAGATACTAACTTGTTACTAAGTTTTTTTCTCATTTAACAACCATATTCACAAAAAGATTAAGTCATACTTATGGATAATTACAGCTAAATAATGCTTAAATGTGTATTTTTAAAAATTCTTGTGTCCTGCATTTTAGTTGCTAACCTCAAAACAAAGTTATCAGTAGCATTCTTTAGGAACTGCTTAAGATGAAAACCAAAATGTAAAGGACAAACTGATGAGAGGTGAACAGGACTTGGTCTGTGTTACAGCGCTTCTTTTGAAAACACAACCATAGTTATGACATGAGTTCTCCTGTCTAAAATTGATTAGAAAATTAACAGATCATTTTATTCCACTACTGAATCACAGTATAAATGCCTAGAAAAGATTTACTAGAAAATCTCTGACTAAGGATACACTTAAGAGGCTGTGTTCACATTTGGACACATACTCAGATCTTATCTACAATGGTTTTCTCAAGTCCTCCTTCACTCTGCCATAGCTCTTTTTCAGATACATCAAAAGGAGCACTTACCTCTGCATATTTCATCCTGTGCAAGTTCTACAATCAGCTTAGGATTTCCTGGAATCCAAGAAATGTGTTCCAGATTGTAAATGAGAATATTCTTTAAAGTGAGATGTTCTGAGCTAAGAATTTCAAGTGACAAAAAATACTGGTTTTTGAGTTTTGCTTAGGCCATACCATAACACTTACAGGTTTTACATTAAACTCAATCAGAAACTTAAATAAATAAAAAAAACTAAGTCACCATCCCCAAGTTGTAATGATGGAATCACAAGACACCTGAGGTTTGAAGAGTGCTTGGCAGGTCTCTAATCCTACACTGCTAGTCACAGCCAGTTCCACTAAAGGTCAGATGGCCATAATCCAGATAGATGTTAATCAACTCCGAAGATGGAGACTGCATAGTCTCTCTAAGCAGTATGTTCCCATGCTTGACTGTCATCACAGCTTTTCCTTATATCCAGCCTGAAACTCTTGATTTTAATTTATGCTGCTGTCTTGTCCTCCTGCTATGCACAGCTGTGAAGAATCTAACTCTGCCTCTTTTATAACCTCTCATGGGTACTGGTAGGCTGCTACTAGACCTCCCTGGAGATGTTGCCTCTCTGGGTTGAACAAGCCCCTTAGATCAGCTTTCCTCATAGAGCTGCTAGCAAAAAATGGAAACAGGTTCCAGCTCTTCTCCTCATTCAGATTAAAAATTTCAGTCACACCACCTGTATTTGAGAAAGCTGAAATTCAACTAGAAGAGCTATCAAAGCAACCGTAGTGATCCAATATTTGTTTAAATTCACTTTAAAAACAACAGTGAGATGTTGTGGCCATTGTTTACAGACATAGTCTGGACAATATTGTCAAAAAGAAGTAGAATTATTGAAAGCAAATAATAATAATCATGTCACTCAACCTGCTGGTCATGTCTTTCTTGATGCAGACCAGGATGGAGTTGGATTTCTGGGTTGCAAATGCACACTGCTGAGTCATATTGAGCTTCTCATCCAATAACCCTCCCAAGTCTTTTCTCCCCAAGGCTTGCCTCAACCCATTACCCACTCAGCCTGTACTTGTGCTTTAGATGTGCTAATAATGAGCTTGTGGTATAAGATGAGCTTTCCTTTGTAGCAGCCAAAGGAAACTTCTCCAGTTAAGCTTTTCTAAAAAATTTTCTTTCCCCACTGCGTATTATTTTGCATATATATAAATACATCTGTTTTCATACATCTATTTAAAATAATAGGTGCTTTCGAATAGTTTACTTGCTAGCTCAATGGCTGATTGGATGATTCACCAAAGTCAGGACTGTTTAAAATTTATGGGGTTTATTCTCCTTTTGTCAAGCATTTTCTACATACAGAACATTCACATGGTATAAATTACAGAACAAAAACTGCATGAGACAGACTACTGCAATTGAGTAACAGACAGTTTACATGATTATTGTTTGCTCACAATGGAAAGGAGTTCTTAAAAAGGAAAATAGATTCAGTAGCTAGAAATGTAAGCAAATTTTTATCTCAGTTAAAGCTACTTACCAGGAGGTTCGCTCAAGCTAAAGACAGATCTACTGTACCACACAGGGCAGAATGCTCAATGCACACAAGATTACAATGCTAGAAAATTCCAGATTTCAAAGCAATTTTACACAATCTAAATTGCAGTAAAACTTTGTTTAAAAAAAGATATTTTTTTCTGATTGCCTTCAGTAAATGGAGGTCATTTTAAGAGCTTATAAGCATTCTTTAGCAAAAACATAATAAAAATAAAAATACTCTCAAACTTCTAAGTCATTGCTCTGAGTCTGGATAGATGTTCACTGCTGGCTTTCTATTGACTTGTTATTCTACTTCTGGGAATCTTATTTTTCCCATTTACATGTTTAACCAGTGTTATATTAGAATACTAAGTAAACAAACTATAAAAAATACAAAGTTTTTGTTGTTTGTTTTTTGTTTTTGTCTCTTTTTTTTGCACTAATCCAGTTGGATGCAAGAACTAGAAAATCTGTTGAGCTAACCAAATGGTTTAACAAATAGGAATCAATGGTACAATGAATAAGCAAAAATGTTGTCTACTGGTCGTAGACTTCAGTTCTTTGAATTCTTATTTTCTTAAAATGCATTTTCTTTATGTTTAATTAACAGTTTCCTCAATGATATAAGTGAAGCTTTGTGATGCCAGGTTTTAAGAATGTGGTATACTCTGAAAGGATGTGCAATATTTCTCTTCAGTACACTTGAAACTCCTTGCTGACGACACCCTGTAATAGCTGAAAAACTTAGCATCTATTTTTGTTCTAAAAAAAGGTAAAGCTTCTGCAAGCAGCTTTCTCAGCTAAGAGACCATAAAAATAAACTCCAAAATGCAGTGATCAGAAAACACTGCAAATATAATTTTTTTTTCATGTATGTTATCACTGTCCTGTTCATGTCACTTGTCACCTGGAATTTGATAGCAGAACTTTCTTTCCAATGACAAGCAATCCTGTAGCCACAGTGGGAATAAATTTAATAATTTCTACATTTATCTTTCTTGTGAGACTTTCGCTTCAAGGCACAAAAAGATTTAACAGTGGACTGGACAGGACATAACATTTCAGCTTAAGGAGTCAAAGGTTGTTGTACGACAGTTCTTGTTTTGTGTCTGAAGCAGAAAAACCCCAAATTTGAATAATATTTAAGTCTTCCATTTACAAATGCAAAGTATAATATTAAATTTCCTGAAGATTTTTGGTTGTTTTTTTTTTCTTTTTTACAGTAATTATACTTATCATCAATTTCAATATTTTGTTATTTTATACAACACAATCTCAGCTGATAATTAATAAGGAGTGCCATTATTAAATAGCTATCATTTGAGTCACTTCATGTGGAAGCTGATTCAAATTGTGTACATGTCAAAGAAGTAACAGGTATAGAAGGGCCTAACAATTTAAAATTAAAATTGTGTAAATTCGAAGAATGGTGTAATTTAAGTGCAATGTACGGTAAAACTATTAACTCAGTAAATATCTAACACAGATTCTTATGCTTCTCCAACCCAAACTACTGTGTTGCCTCTCTCAACTTCAGTGATTTCACAATTTAACTTATTGAGCCGTCCATCCAGGATAAACAGAGATTCCTTGGAAGGGGTCATGAGATACTGACCAAAAAGGCCACTGTCTTTTATAAGACGGTTCTTACTGTTCCAAGGCCATTCGCCTGCCTTCATGGGTTCCTTCAGACTCTTCACCATCTTCACCTTGCCAGAAGAGAGCTCCATGAAGAGAACATCAGTCTGTGTGCTGGAGCTGCAGTAGACATTGTATTGATGAGCTTCAGTGAAGGATGGCTGAAAAGCTACATCAGATATGTGCAAATTAGTGTGAATGTCAAATGCATCCTGTATTTCTCCTCTCACTGTTATGGACTGGATCCTCAGGAGGCCTTTTGCATCATCAATGCTGAGAAGGTAGTGTCCATCTGGAGAGACATGTGGTGTGCCCGTGACGTCACCGTTGTATCCAACCACGGAATCAGTAACGCTATCCACTATGAGCTGCGGCAGGACAGCCCCAGTGGTGTCAGGCTTACAGCAGATAAAAAGATATCCTCCAAGATGTGTATAAGCCAGTGACTCAGGAATGCAATTATAATCCTTTAAACTAACTGTCTTGATGTACGACATCGTTTCTAGATCAATTTTCTGGAGCATGGGATCATCCTTATGAAGAATATATCCAAACCTGAAAGGAAAAGCACAAAACCAAAGTCAGAGCCACTGTGTGCATTATGTATGAATGGGGAAAGACACCCTGAGCAAAGGAGATAATATGTGCAGTGGCGTATTGCTATATATCTCAGCTTCAGATGTTTCAGTTATTAAGAAGTTTATAATATTTTATTTTTAGTGTTGTAATTTAGAATACATTAAAAATGCCTAAAACCCATTTATTTGATTAATGAGAAAGCTCTTTCTTCCTACTGACACGAGGGAAAAAGTACACCATTACTTTCTATATCTAGTCACTTCTAACTTTTACAAAAGCCAGGAAGGAGAGAAAGATTAAATATCAATAGATACCACATCCCATATATTTGAATTCAGTTCATAGACTCTTCAACTTACTTGGGAACATCAGCTTAACCCAGTGCGCATTGTTATTCAGATCATTATCTGAATCTTCCTTATTTTAATTCAGTAGAAATGAATATCATAAAAGGATTTAGGTTTATGCCTCATAATTACCCAAACACCATATTTCTTACAATTTAAATGATTCTTTATGCTCTTCCATACATCAAGAAACTTTCACTGAACATGAATAATCTGATTACATTTTAAAATCCTAGAGCTGATTGATTGTAACCTTTTAATATAAACAATGTCTTTAATGTATGTTCTGACTGCACAATCAATTGACTATACATATATATGTGTGTGCAAAAAAAGAAACTTCTAAATATTATGGAGCCATGTGAAAGTATATTAGCTTTACTTATCTAAGTAGCTTACACAGCACTTTCCCCAAACAGCTGTTTTCTTTTGGCACATTTCTTGGCACTTTCCTCTGAATCTTTGATCCTAAAAATGAGGCTGTGTGATGATAAATATAATCTAAAAATACCCCTCACATCATTTTGATAGAAAGCCATATGACAACCAGAATGTTCCAACAATTGAGCTGACAATAACACTAAATTTTCACACTATACTCGTAACTCCAATGTACTTACTAATCAGTGAACTGCCAAAGTACAGGCAAAAAACGTTTCAAGACATTGTTCAGGAAGTTCCTCAGTATAAGATAGGGTGAATTACATTTGCACTTTCTACTGAACTGATGTAAGAACACTTTTAATTTTAGCCCCACCTTCCAAAATCCTTGCATACTGCTTCAGTATCATAAAAGCACAGAACTAAAGAAGTATTTCAATTGTTAGGAACCTTAGCATTTAATTTGGCCCAAATCCTGCCCAAAGATGGCTCAGTGTGAATCACACTGTCCACAATAACAATTTGATCCAATTATGAGATCAATTTTGTCTTTAATTATACAGCCACTTACAAATACATGAATTCAATCATCTTGGTTAGGAAAGTGTGAGTGACATTTTTTGGAAGTTATGTCTGGATAACTTACTTAAGATAACGATACTTTTCTATTCATGAGGTCTGCTGTTCTGTCATAGAAAAAGATCAGTATCATAAGGCAGAACTTGATTTTTAGGTTTTTTTGGCCACATAACATCTGTTTCTTAATCTTTTTGGGTAGCCATAAACTCATTGATTCCTGGTATCATTATTAATTGGTAAGTATTTTTCAGCTATAAGGAACAGACCTATGCTGTATTATGTACAAAATCGTCCTGTAATAGAAAAGGTTAAATGGGTAACAACACTGACATTTCACATCTCCATATTTAATAACCAGTGGTAGACACATGAGCAGCGGTTACAAAAGGACAATAGAACTGGCTTATTGATTGTGTTTTTACATAACAATGTAAAGCAATGATCAGTGAACTATCCAAGAACAGGAGTATTCACAAGAAGATAAAGGGAAAATACCTAATTTTAAGGTCAATGTGATGACAGGTACTGAATAGCTTAATTTTAAGCTATTATATTACTTAATCTATTTTAATAAAAGAACACAGTGCAGAGAGTTTTTGCTTTAACTACTTTTGATCTCAATTTCAGTTGCAAACATACAGTATCTTTTTTGTTTGAGACTGGCAAGCTGACCTTGGGTTTGAAAACCAAGGTTTTCTCTTTCAGCATACCAATATATAGTCATGGGAAAAATCAGGAAATCTTTTCTAAAAGTGAAAGAAAAGGCTCTCACTGAGTTGTTTTTAGCTTACATAGGTACTAAGCCACAGACTTATATCCAAGTGAAATTTTCCAATATACATAAACATACATTAAATCCTTACTGTGATTTTGAAAATACAGCAGTCATCATTTACATTATTAAATCTATAAATATTTTTTAATATTTGGCCTGTTGTTTTCAGAAATGGTATTAAAAATATGAACAAATTATCTTCTATAAAAAAATCAGTAATTTAACATTTTACTTTATTTGAAACATTTTATTCTATATATTTGTCTATCATATTTCACTAAATTCAGGAAAAAGACTTAAAATTTGACTGTATGTTTTAAGTTGCACTTTAGTTTCTATCCTGCATGAGAGAAAACACAAGTAATCTTTTTTTTTAAAAAGGCAATCTTTTCTTAAAAACCCAAATGAATTCTTAACCGTTTTCCACCCCAAATTTAAAAATCTAAATACATATCTTTTAAACTGGTCAAAACCTAAATTAATTTTTTTTTCATTTATCATATATCAAGCTAGAAGAAGAAATTTTTGTGCTGCTCGACAATTCATTTTTTTCTAAAGATTATTCCAGGTCATAAAAATGACCTTCTTCTAAAGTAAAATACAAATGCAAAACAAGATTATCATCAATTATCTAAATCAGCAAATCTTACTTGGTGATTTAAACTGTGATTAAAATGAAGTATTTAAATCAATTTGATTCAAAGAAATCTTCCTTGCTTATGATTATTTGATTAAGCAGTGTTAATGATCAATTTATGCGATATTTTTTTTGCATCCAAATGTTATTGATTTCAAGAGGAATATATAAGTTACTAATCTTTGCTCCTCAAATATTATTCCCAGAATGTATGTTTTTGAACCACAGGTACACTTAACCCATGTTTACCTTGGCTGCATAAACTCTTTGATTACCAAATGTGAATGTGCTGTCCAAGGCTAAAAAAAAGGTTTTGTCTACCTACCCTAGGGGTGACATAAATGCACATGTGCAAAGACTCACATTTGGCATCTAGCTTTGCCCACAGAGGACACTGCCATTGGGCTGTACTCCAGCTTCTCATTACCTGGTGGTACCTTCTCTCACACAAATCCCCTAAACTCAAAAGGTTTGCATAAGCATTCCCCAATGCATGTCATCAGGATAAATTTAGCTCCTGTGGAATAATTAGGATCCTTTAAATTTTTTTTACTGGCTAACGTGGTTAGTGTGAATGAAATACCTTATATCTTAAGAGCCATGGAACAATGTTGACATAAACCTTCCCACTAGCACAGACAGATTTAATAAAAATTATGTTTGTCCACAGCAAGGGACTCCAGATCTCCAGACTTAGTCAGCAAACACATTTTAAAACAAACCAGCTCATAAGGGTACTAGTTTCTTTTATAGCTTTATCGATCTCTTTGTAATATTTAGTTCACAGTTCAAAAAGCCACAAGTAAAAAGTTTACAGCATCTTGGACAGACTGTTCCTGTGATGTAAACAGAGGCTTCAGCTTTAGTAATTGAGTTTAACTGAAAATTATAGAAACTGGCTTCAACATTTTACCCACTTTATCTGATGTTGTATTTTTATTGCACTTGAGAGATTTATTGTCCCTTGCTCTGGAGCTATTAAGGAATTTGATATTATATGCTGCAGCAGCTAACCATATGTATTCTGATAATCAGTTATACCTGAATGCTTGTTTACAATGAATCTTACTTATAAAGTGTGCAAAGAGCAGTTTAATGCATTTTTTTTCAGTGTTTATTTATTTTCAGCTCACAATTATTTACAGCTATCCTTGCTATTCATTGCATTCTATTTACTTCTGAATTGGAAGCAAAGGTTTGGGTGATATGCTCTCTTTCCTTCCTTAGAGAGCTGACTTCTCTAGCCCTGATAAAATATAACTCCATTTTCTTGTAGCATCAACATGCAAACAACCTTTTGCTTTATAACGTTTTCTAGTTCAAACTTCAAAAAGTCACTGTTTGGACACAGATGTAAAATTAGCCCACAGTGTCATATTTCTGGAGCTGAATACACTGAGACATCAGTTATGTGAGCAGAACAATGCATAGAACATACATAGCAGTTTACAGTTACTGATTTCAAAGTACTGTACAGATAATACAGAGGGTAAAGAAGCTGAATGACTGGCCTAAGGCTATATAATAATCCATTGGCATAGTCCAGGTGAAAATATCATGCTACAGGTTACTATTGCAACTGAGGTACTAAAGAGACAGGTGTGAGAAAAAACATAAAATATATAATTTTGAATAAGAGTATACAAAATCACTCCATCAACATAATGTTTTTGATTGCTAAAAATAGACAGAACTTTGCACCTGGCTGGGAAAGAAGTTGGTAAAATTTCATGAGGGATCTACCATTCCCAAAACCAGGAGTATAGCTACCAAAAGCAATTTATTAGAACTAAGAGGATTTTATAAATTCTACTGTTTAAACAATTCTTTCTTGGCTGTTATACTGCCTGCAACATTTCAGTGCTCCAATTAAAATTCAGCAAAGCTGGACAGGGATGTAAGTACCCTAACAGTGCAACAATACAGATAAAAAGAAGGGGGGGTGGAGGGGGTGGGAATAATTTAAAGCTGCCAGTCTTCTTGGTTAAAAGGATTTGGCAAGCTGTGTGTTTCCTATGTTTGTCTGCTTGTCTCAGTGAGAGCTGTGTGGTTGGAGTTTTGAGAAGCTGAACAAATCAAGAGAGGTCTGTTCTTGTGCCTGTAAGGTTTGTGAGGCTGACTCTTAGTCTCTGAGAATTGCTAGGCAGAGGGGTAAGGATGGAAAAAGTAATGAAGTTCTGGAGGGAAGTCAGAGAAGGGAAAAGGGGAAGTGAAGAAAACTGATAAGAAAAGCTAAGAATTTCATGTATGGTATAGT